GAGGCAGTGGGGGGTGTGGGACAGGGAGGCAGGCAGGCAGGAGCTGGGGGGAGCCAGTTTAAAAGCTGGTTCCCCCCAGCACCAGCTCCCTTCCCCTGTACTGCTGCCTCTCACGGACAGGGGCTGCTATCACTATGTGCTGTTGCGGTCGCTACCACTATGTGCTCTGTAACAGCAGCTGCCAGCTGCTTCCGGTTTTTAAATTGACTCCCCTTGCTGACCGGCTCCACCTGCCACCTCAGGCTGCTGCTTCTTCCTGGGGACTGTTGAATAGTCCTGTAATTGCTAAGATTTCATGCAGTTACACAGCTATTCAATTACACAGTATATAACATCCCTACTCTACACATTCAGTTTTGATTAATTTGGCCCATTTCTTTTAACCATGTTTTATCTTGGTCTTCAATTATAGCAACAGTGATAGGGTAAATGAGTATTGTTGAGGTATTTTTGTTGAAAACTCTTTTAAGTTGGCATTTCTGATTTTTTTTTTTTTTTTGGTTAAGTAAACTGAACTTTTCAACATGTTAATATTGGCATTTGATTTGTAATAGAGTGGACCAGAAGTTATTTCAATAGCAAAACTCCTACTGATTTTGATGGATTTCTATGACATCAGAATCAAGTGCAGTATCTGAATTGTGATTGCATATCAGGCTGAATGCAGTCAGTGGGCCTTCAGGAATTTGATGCCTAACATGTACTCTTGCTATGGTTTTGACAATTTTTAAAAAATGACCTGGCCTTTCCAGAAGAAATAAGTTACTAATGTGGTCAATGTATAATTATTAGTGCTCTCCCAATGAGTTCAGCAAAGTCTTGAAATACTTTTCCTGTTATGAAGTTAGACTGACTTAGTCTTTTTATTCAGGTATGAAATCAGTGGGAAGGGTTCTGCCTTTAAAAGAGCTGCAGAATTACATTAAGTTAGAAAGCCAAAAATAATCCATAGAGGTTTCATTTTTAGTTAAAAGCCCATTGACCTCTATAAATAAAGCAACTGAAACATCACCAGCAAACATACTATCTCTATTAAGTGTTATATGCTATTAATAGAGATGTAGTGGCAGAAAATATCCCAGAAAATTATATATTTTAATATGCCCATGTGTATACACAGCAGCTCTTTGTTGGTGGTTTCTGCACCAGATTATAACTCTTGCATTAAGTAGTGAAATTGTATCATATTAAAAGTGCCCTGTGTATTAAAAATATAACCTAAGGATTTGTCTTTGGCTCGGGATGCATAACACGTACCATGGGTAAGTTACCTGATTGTGGTGCTGCAGCATTGGGGACTGTTGCTTACGTGAGAAAACCATCTCACTTGGCATTGCTCCTAACTTCCACATTGATTCAAAAAGGCTGATACTTGGACTCTTATTCAGAGCCATATATCAACTCAATCCACTCTAGTGTCTGCGCATTATCCATCTCAATGACAATCAAAATGTATATGTACCAGAGAGGATGCATATTGTGGGAAGCAATAAGTATGTAAGAATCTGTGCAGGGCTCATTGTTTTTTCTTGCTGATCCTAGGTTCGGGTCAGGGCCAGCACTTGAAAAGTTCAATTGCACTGAAAACTTGTTTGCCCAGTACCAACATTTCCATGTGATTTTTAACTGCCAAATGTCTGCCAAATCGAGGTAGAAACCAATGATTTATACAATTTTAAAATAGGCATTCCATGTTTTAGGCAAGCATAAAGAATCAGTTTGTAGTTCTAAAACTTCTCAAGATGGCAGTCACTAAAAATCATGTTAGAATTCAAACAGGAACAAGAAGTAAAATGGTAATATAAAGGATCATGTTTTGTGGTCTGAAATACCACAAACCTGTCAGACCTCGAAGCCAGATAATTAATAGTATGCCATTTAAAATTTGGAATTTCTGACTTACAGGTGGCAAAAAGGTTTTTGTTTTTATCCTTGTGAGTTGTGAGAGATCAGATTACACAATGATGTGAAACCTGCATTTGATTAGGACAGACAGGTGAATCAATGACAGATACACTGCAGCTCCAGTGGGCACAGCTGGGGGAGGGGTGAAGCCACCAGCTGGATCATGTCCAGGTTCATCTGCCCCCTGCATTCCACAGCCAGAATGAAGAATACAGCAAACTGCACTTTCTCCTCCCTCTCTGATGAAGGGGAATAGCCAGCAATGTTCCTGAATGAATTGGGGGTAGCGGGAGCTTCAGTACTCCTCCCCACCCGCCACTGAGGGGTGGGAGGCTTGGAGCTGGGACAGTCCGGGATTGGGGAAGGGAGACAGTTCTGGATTGGGGGAGGGTGCCCCTAGCCAGATTGTTTCACCTGCCTGGTGATTCTGTGCCCTTTCTGTATGTTTTTGTGAGAAGCAATCTTATTGTCCTGGCACAACCTAACCCTGACCTTGCTTTAAGTTATGACAAGAGAAAGCTGCATACTGAATTTGGTAGTCCTGACTCTTACCATTTAGGAGGAGTTCTTGAATAAATAGATAGACAAACTCTCTCAAATATATAGTAATTAGCCCATGGGAATCCCCTTGGTCTAGGACTTAGTTCACTTCTGAATTCCTCTGTTTTTGCCCCACCTCTAAGTTGAGGGGTAGCAAAGAATCCAAAGGGAGGACCTCAGTGTGTAAAGACTCGGGTCTTCTTTTTCTCCACCAGCAAAATGCTGGGTCTTATTTCCCCATTTATAATGGTCTCTTTTAGCTTATCTATACTGGAATACAGCCCACAAATAGTGACATGCTAAGCAGTTGTTCTTAGTATGAAGCTTTTAAAGCCTTAATGCTGTATCCTGAATGTGCCTCCATGGTGATGTGAAAAAACCCAAAACATCAGACCTCCTGCCAGTTTGGTTGAACAGGGAAAATTCTTTCTTGATCCCAAAACAGATAGTTGGTCAGACCTGCAGCATCTTAAAACTGCAGCAGTTACACTGCAACTAAGGAGAAGGGAGGTGTGGGTAAGTAGCAGGAACAAGGGGCTTTGGAAAAGCCTGGGAGTGCTGAAAGAAGTCTGTCTGAAGTGGGGTACAAGAGCTGATTGGCTGAGATAGAGTAACAGGCTAGCCAATGGGAAAAATACTTTTTGGGGGGCAACCCACCCACCCAACACACAGGTACCTTTGCATTCACTCTTCCCCTGGGGTCTGTGGGGTCTGTGTACAGCACCTGTGGTCCATTCAGGGTCACTATTCTGATGATTGGGGGGTGGGCATTGTTCCTTTGTCTAGCATTGCTATTTTGGCACTGATCCTGGATTTAATAAAACAAGTCCCAGTCCTAGAACAATGTAATTTCCAGTCACCACTGTCAATCTTACCTCATGTCTCTCTGTACTTTGACGACTGTACAGCATCTTCCAGAGGAAATTACATGTTTTGTTTTTGTTTTTTCCGCCTATGTCCTGAAATCTTTATTGGTTTCCTCCTTTGCAAAATATGTTGCAGTACACAGAACTGAGAGGAAATTGCTGTGTGGTTTTTGATGCCAAACAAACTTGGGTCAAACCTGTCTTTACTGAACATTTTTGAACTTTTAAAAGTTAGAGCGCCTGATGTGCCTTTCATGGTCAGCAGTGTGTTTCTGTTGATTTCAGTAGGGAACTCCTGATTTTACATGGGGTTTTGGGGGTTTTTTTTGTTTTTTGGAATGTCACCTTTCAATTCCCTGACTGCCCATTCTGCCTAAAACTGAACTGGCTGGAACTTTATGCACTGTTGCTCTCTGACAGTTTTCAAATTCAGCAGCCAGGTGCTGAGAAGAGGCTAAATTTACCAACTTCACTAATATTTAGTACTATCTAATTAGACAGATTGGCCAGCTAAGAGGTGCATTTGTGCATGAGCCTTCTCCTCATAAGCCCTTGAAAAGCTGGGTGTCTGCAGAGCAAATGGAAAATGTTTCCATAGCTGGTCTATATTTTTCTTTTGGATAACATGATAGGGAATGGAGCCAGCATCCAAAGCTGTATGTATTTTTGTAGAGTAAAAATTGTGTGTGTTACAGGTACAATATTTTAGTAACCTTTTATTCATTAATCATGAAATCAATACATTGTTATTGTTTCAAAAGAGAAACATGCACAGTGTTCACTGGCAGTGTCTTGCTGTCAGGCCAAGTCCTGATTTATTACAACAGGTGATAAATGGTCACTTCTTAACTGCATTTTATTGATAGGCATTTTTCAAAGGACATACTGTATTTTGACTGTATATTGGCTTTCCAGGTTTGTTTGTGTAGACAACATATGTTTTGGCACTCTGTCATATATTTGAGAGTGTTCTGAATGCAGATATAGAGGCTATAGACAATTAGTGTGGTTGGTGGCATCTGATATCAATTGGAAATAAGACTATGGAGAGTATCCTCCACTTACATCATGCACAAGTGGGTAGAGAACCGAACATTGTTCTCAATGGCCAGAAAATAAAGCAAGGGACTATATATATTCATTGAAGCATATATAGTCCCTGCTCCTGGTTAGTGCCCTACCCACCAGGCTTCACCTCCTCTTCAATTTTACAATAATGTGTACGTTCTCTTGTGAATCATGCCTGAAAAAATAAAAATATTTTATTTGGCAAGTGTAAAAAATGAACTTTTCAGCAATTGTGGGATTTTTTTTAAACTGAGTTTGGTGTAATTGGCAAAATGTTTTGTTCAAGTTGAATCTTTTTTTTTTTTTTTTTTTTTTTAACCAAGAACAATTTTTTTTCTTTTTTTTTCCTCTCAAAAAAAAGTCCCCTTCCTGTATTTGTTGCTCATTAATTTCCATTTGACAAGCATTGTGAAATCAGGTAGTTGGCAGAAGAATGTCTGCATACACAGGTAGATTTTGGAATGAACACAGAAATGTAGTCTGAAATGTTTTGGGCATTAGTCTCTTTAAAATTTGATGCTTAGTGACTAGAGTTAGCCATTTTTGTGGCAGAATGGAGAACAGAAAAGGAAATAATATGAACAAATAAATTATATATTTTCCCATAACATTTCATTCCAGAACTACGGCATTCTGCACTTGATGTCCTCAAGAAATCCCCAAATCCACCTGCCTTTTTTGCTGCAGCCACACATACTGCCATGCTGAATGGAAGTGATGAAGTATATGCAAACTGCATGGTAGTGGATCAAGTAAGATAGTCTTCCATCTTTTTGTTTTCAATACACTGCTGTTCATTGTCTCCTAGTAAAATACATTATTTGAATTTTAGTAAAATGTGTGTCAGTAGAGTCTTGTAGTGGTTTATACTTGTAAATATTACATATGTTTATGTAATTAGAGCAACTTTATTCCTTCATCTGTTGGCATTCTTGACTCAATTATTAGATTTTTTTAAATAAAATAAGATATAAAAATATAAATTGTAATCTTTTTATTTTTTTAGTTTTTCTATGAGCTGACCAGCTCTTCTTCTTTGAATTATTTGCACTTATATTCCCTCTTAATTTAAACAGGATCTTGTATCCTGATGTTTGTTAATTAACAAGTCCCTCAATTATCAATTCAACAGGAATAAAAAATAAGTGCCAGATAAACCAATGTCCAATTATTGTTGTATAGGGCAGTATAAAGTTGGAAATTCTGCCAGGTGTAAACCTGAGATCCTGACCACTTGTGATTGTTACTTATGCTACATTACTTATCATAGAGACTAGTTCTCGTAGAATCTGGAAAAGCTACTTTTTGGGTAATTTAAACCTATCTATCTAAAATCTCCCCACAACCTGAATTCAAAATAGCTTCTACATGTTGTAAAACACATGCCAACTTAGGGTTAGTCTACACTAGCCCCCTAATTTGAACTAGGGAGGCTAATGTAGGCATTTGAAGTTGCAAATCAAGCCCGGGATTTAAATGTCCCGCGCTTGATTTTCATCTTCCCGTCTGGTCGCCATTTTTGAAATTTACAAGTCTGGACTAACTGCTTGCGTCTACACATGGCAGGGACCCGGTATTTCAAATTAAAGCCCTAAATCGAACTACCTGTTATTCCTCCTACAAGGGTCCCTGCCGTGAGTAGATGTGGGTAGTCCGGACTTGTAAATTTCAAAAATGGCGACCGGCCGGGAAGATGCAAATCAAGCGCGGGATATTTAAATCCTGGGTTTGATTTGCAACTTCGAATGCCTACATTAGCCTCCCTAGTTCAAATTAGGGGGCTAGTGTAGACTAACCCTAAGTTGGCATGTGTTTTACATACCCTTAGTTACAAATATCAGAGTTATGAACTGATCTGTCAACAGCATACCTCATTTGGAACTGAAATATGCAATCAGGCAGCAGCAGACACACCTCCACATTGCTCAGAAACAAATACAATATATATGAAATATAAATTACTACAAAATAAAGGGAATGGAGCATTTTTCTTCTGCATAGCAAATTTTCAAAGCTGTATGAAGTAGGTATTCAGTTGTGCACTTTTGAAAGAACAACCATAAAGTTTTGTTCAGAGTTTAGAATGTTTTAGCATTATGAACAACCTCTATTCCCAAGGTGTTAGTAACTCTGAGGTTCTACTGTGTATGTAACTTGTAAAATGGTTTGGGATCCTTCAGAATGAAAGGAAGAAATGTCAGAAGTTATTGTATACTATTAAATGAAAGCCTTGGAAGAAGACTGATATTGAAAGTTCATCTTCATATTCTTAGTCTGTCTTGTTTTCAAAGGGGTCTGCAGCTCCATTTGAAAATTTTAGGCACCTGAAAATGAAAAAAGGTTGAAAACCACTACATTAAACTAAGAAAGTCCAACCCATCATTCCTGTAATTATGACCTTGAGGCTTGGAAAACTTATTAGCCATATTAATTTATCTCCAATTTCTGTTCCCCAAGAAAGTAATAAAAGAAAAACCGATGACACAGAGAATTATAGTTTGATATGTAGTGATATGTCTTTTACTTACTTTTCACAAGCATTAATACAGATCTGTCTCATTCTCTAGGGTAGAGATTTGGATGTTAACTACATTAATGTTGACAGCATCACCACTGAAATAAGCACAGATCATACCTGCTCAACCCTGACACCAAATAGCTCATCATCTGTCTCACTTAAGAAAAGCAGCCAATATGTTTATGCAGAAAATGAAGATAACCAAATGGCAATGAATAACATAGACAACATAGGCTCCCAGCTCTTCACTTCACCTTCTAATGTGTATGCAGCAGGTTCGTATCTACCACTCAAGTCTCGTGGATTTAATACAGAACGAAGTCAACTTTATGCTGACCTGAAAAAAAGAAGGTATGGAGTTGTTTTGATCCATATTGTCAGGAAAGGACTAAAATTTAATGTTTTATGATTATATATAAAATGAATAGGAGTGGGTGACCATGACTTTGAGAAGTACATAGAGTAGCTGGAAGTACAAGGCCAAGCATGGAAACAGCGTGCATCTCTATCAGACAGCTAGGCAAATAGCTCTGTCGCTGCTGTAAATGCCCTTCTCATATTGGCCTACGGAGTCACATGAAAACCCATTAGCACAAACTAGGGATATGCATAACTGGCGGGGGTTGGAACAGCTTTGGGCTGGAGTGACCCACCCACCTGTCCCTGTTTAATTGGTTAAGTATAATGTTTTTAACTTGTTAAACATAATGCTTAACTGGTTAACTAATTAAACAGGATTTTACATCTCTAGTACAAATGTCATCCTTGAAATTGAGGTGAACAGCATCATATTTAATCTGAGTGAGTGTATGTGAGAGAGATTGATTAACTAAGTATATTTTAATTCAGAAAAATTAACCAAAACCTGGAATATGAATATCTCTACTGAGAGAAAACCTACAGTATCTTCAGAAAAAACTGTCACCCGGTCACTAACAGCCCAAATTTTATGATATGCTATATTTAATTCTGTATTTTGATAATGTGGTGATAAAGGCCTCTTTTGTTTTTTTGTTTTTGTTGTTCTTTGGCTTTTGTTCCCTGCAAACTGTAAGTGGTTTCTAAGTGGCTTGATACACCTCGGCCTAAATTGTGGCAGGTGCTGCAAAGGGTGACATCTGCTTGAAAACAGAACCAGGCAACTATTAGTCGTGTGAATTTTCACTGAGAAGTTTTTCATAACGTCTCAAACCATGAACGTGAAACATAAGCCAATTTATAATTGTTATTCTCCACTGAGGGCCTGTTCCAAACACACTTTAAAGGAATTGTACATTTGAGTGCATATGACTTTTTCAGATTGACAGTCACCAAGCCACAGTATATCATAAACCCAAATCTCTGGTGTGTTTGGTTTGCTTTGTGCTGTTCCACTGTAGTGATGTAAGCAACTAATTGACTAGTTGACTGTCGGATAAGCTAAAGCTTATCTATCAGAAAGAAGCAACAAGGTGGGGGGAGGTGTGGTGCTGTGGGAAGCTGCTTAAAAGCTCGTTCCCCCCATCTCTAGCTCTGTGGGAGGGGGCAGGGGCACAGTGGTAACGTAAACAGGATTTTACATCTCAGAGTCTCTAGCTGGGGTTCTTGTACATTTCAAAGTGGAAGCGCAGCATGGAGCCTGGGGCCAGTGGGGGACTCAGAGTCCCCTGCTGGCCCCAGGCTCCATGCAGCATTTCACTCTTTGAAATGCATAAGACTTGTACATGTCAAAGGCGCAGCACTTTCGGCTTTGAAATGTAGCAACATCGAGGCAGGTTCTTGCTGCATTTCAAAGCAGAAGCACCCTTATCAACTAATTGAATAGTTGATGGAAATTCCATTGACTATTTGATTAGTTGATTAATCTAATTTTAACATCCCTACACAACTGGTAAAAAGCAGCCCTAAAATCAGCAGGGCCACTCTAGTATTCTCCTATTGGCAGCTCTGTTATGCTGGGAATAGACCTGCTCCAGGACTGGAGAACACAAAAATGGTTTAAAGCTACCTTTACTCACATACTATGTTCTTTCTGAGCTGGCCTTAATGTTTTCCATTTGCAGCACAGGATCTGCCCCCTATTTTAATGTCTTCTTCAAAATTATCCCTCCCCAAAAAAATTCATTGGGAGTTTTGCCTGAGTAAAGATTACAGGATCAGATCAAGTATAAAGTAATACTACAGTAAAATATTACACATTTGCTGTTAAATAGCATCCTTATTCAAGGACCTCAAAGTGCATGGCAAACATTAATTAATAAATCTTGCATACATTTTTGTAGGTACTGTCTATATTGGAGAAATTTGTGCCCATGCAACTCCTAGTGTAAGTTACTGGAGGAACCAAGATAGACTAAGTCTTGCCTCACATGGGTTCACTGTATCTACATTAGGCATTTGCATTGTGTGGTTGCAGTGGTGATGTTTTTCTAATGTAGACAGGGCCATATGTAAGTATGTTTAACCCATTTTCACAAATGGGGAAAATAATATACCAAGAGGCTAACTAACTTTTTTTTCCTATGTCACATGGCACATTTGTGACAAATGTGGGGATGGATAACTTCCAGATGTCCAATGATAAAATAGCTTTGGACTGTGTTAAAAAAGAAATTATTTAATTAAGTGAATATTAATGCTGAGTGAAAAAGTTACAATGATACAATTACTAGCTTGGATCTATAATTACTGAGAAATACCATGCACATTCTAAACGTTTTGTGCTGGAAGATTGGAATGTTATTGCAAGCAGTCAACCGTTCATTTCAGTCATGTTAATAAAGAGACCATGAGCTTATGTACACAGATAAAGGGACAAAAAGATTGCAAAGACCCCCACCCCCCGTGGTGCTGAAGCTGCTTGGAAACCTCATTGTAATGTTATATTAACGTCTGCAAATAAAATGTTCTCTAGTTTTTTTTGTTTTTGACTGTGTGAGGCTGGGGTTTTTTTTAGCTTTGTCATGTTCCTTCATTAGTCTATCTTAAAAAAAGGATAATTTTTTAACTTAAAAATCAGACTTACTCAAAAAGTGGCTTCTAGGAACCTACTCCAGCATATCAATGCTTATATATGTATCTTGGTGGACTTTTCTTTCCACTCTCCATTAATTTCTAGATGTTGGGTAAAATAATCTGAGAACTGCTGCATTATATAGGCTTATCAAGCAAATTCTCACTTAAACTCTAATTTGAAGTTCAGAAGCAAAAGAGGGGCAGACCTCTGAGGCCTTACTTACTCCACACATGCTAAGCCACTTGCATCCGTATGCAGCATGACCACATTTTAAGTGTAGGCAAGATGCAACTGGAGTAAAGCCACATTGCATGATGGGAGTGGGGGGCAAAAAGTGGAGAGAAGACTAGAGCATGACTAATCCAAACACCATTTACTAGGCTATTGTCTTTGCTTGTTGCATTAAGTTTGAAAGGTTGATGATTAGATTGCTGTATATTCCATATATTTTGTGGTATGCTTTAGTTCTAGTCTTGATGACCTTGAAGTAGACAGTGGAAGTGAAGGGATTTCTGACAGATCCCATATTCGCTACCCTTCCCTCAATTCTTCAGTGACATTGGCTAGCAGCAGGGATGAATTAGATTCTTCTGAGACAAGCACTGATCTCGATTACAGCATCCACAGAATGGACTCTAACAATCTGCTGTCAAAGGTATTGGGTATCATTTTAGTTTTGTTTGTTTTTCTTTCAACTAAGTTGTTGGAAAATATATAAGAATTTGTATATAAATTTGAAGGGCCACATTCACTTTTCAATTATTGTAGGATAATTCAGATTAACTCCATAGAAGTCAACAAGGTTTATCCCAATTTACACTGGTAGAGAGGAAAGTTTGATAGAAAGAAAACAGCTTAGCAACATTTTCAGTTGATGCATGAAACTAATGGTTTCCCCCCCCATACATTTTCCAACCTGCTCTGTAGTATTTATCCTGCAGATCAACATACTATTTGCATAATATTTTGGAACTCGAAGGTGCTTCAGGATAGTGATTTGCAACATGTAACTCTGTTTGCTGCAATTGCACAATGGAAATTCTCGTTAATATTTCTAGGTCAGGTACGTCGTGAGCAATACATTTGCAAGGCCATATCAGTGATATCTGTGCCAATGATTTCAAATGACCATCCTCATTTGTGCAATGGCGACTCAGTCACATATTGTCCTCTTTGGAGAAAAGACTACACATTATGCTGCATATACCCATTGTTGATGCCATGATGCCAGTGTTCATCTGATAGACAGAGCGCAGACCATCACTATTGTTTATTTTTCAGAGCCTTTAAAGTTGACTTCAGATCTGGAATTGAAACAAATAATATATTGTTTTATCTGTGAAGCCACTTGTGCACTTAGCATATCAATAACATATCTGTACTGTAGTGTAAATATAGGCTTTTTAATGAAAGTCCGTGTATTTAATGAATTACAAAAATCAGATAATATTGGATTTAAATTCTTAAAAGAAATAGGCTTTGTATGGGGAATTGATTAATTTGCTTTCAAGGCATTAACTGATCACCAGCTGGGGTAGGAGATTACTCCTCCTGGTATCCATTCCAGGCACAATTAGAAATAAAACATAAGAGAAGGTGAAGAGAGAGATTAATTCCTTCCTCTAACATACAGATCATGTCTGGAGACAGAATCTGGGGTTAGATGGAACATTGGTCTATTCTGGTGTGAAAAAATTATGTTCAGATACCACTATAAACAGGCAAGGGAGATAACTAACCATCTGATATAGTCACTGTTCAGACTTTGTCCTCACCAAATTGAAATAATTTCGGATTTTTCTTTATCTAATTTGCACACACATACTTTCCTAGAATATCAATTGCCTTTCCTTGAAATTATTGTTTTTCCCCCTCATTTTGATTTCTTCTAGGAATCGTTACTTTCTGGAATTCGATCACGCTCTTACTCATGTTCTTCACCCAAAGTTTTATTAGGGAAATCTCGCTTTTCACGTGACTTCACAGTTTGTGATTCAAATGAAGGTGAGCATTAGTTCTTCTCTGTTTGTATGTATGGAGCGCTACAGACTCCCACAGGCCAAATGCTGACTTCTTTACTCAGGTCTGAATTGTCTCTCTCATTTCCGTGGAGGGTGAGGTCCCCTATGTGTGCAGCTCTTCTCTAGCCTAGGTGGAAGTGGGACTCAGCTGCTTCCACATCATCCCTCCTGGATCTTCAAAGGGCATTCTGTTGGTCTGGAGCCTGCAATGCGGGAGGGCAATAGAGACAGAGCTGCAAGGGAGCTGTGGGAAATCTGGCTGTGGGCAGAGATAGGAGATACACATTGCCCCTGCTCCAGTCCTGCAAAGCTTAGAGAAGATAAGGTAGCCTACGTCACAATTTTCTTTTTCAGGATCCAGTAGAGACACAAGAGAGGGTTCAAACTTGATGCAGAGGCACAGGCACTCTCTGCAGATCCCCACATCCTGCAGATCTTTGGGAATTGGTGAGGTTTGTGTGTAACGCTACGGCCTTTTCCACCGGCAAGGAAGCAAACACCACCCTCTTCGTGGGTTGACAAGATTCTTACAAACCTTCCTTCCCTATATTCCTGTTCTGCATGTTTTACCATATTAGGGATAACCTTATCTTCTGCTCCTATTCAGTCCTAACTTAAGTTAATAGGTGTAGTTTGCCTATCCTTGGCGTGCTGAGGAAAACTTGAAGGATCTTATGATGAAGCCCCGAGTTACACAATTGATTGTTCTGCTTATGTGCTGCCAGCAAGATGTTAAAAATAGTTTCTAACATCCTTCTATTGTAAGGGGCTTGTTTTTTTGTTTGTAAGCTTAGCAAATAATCCGTGCCTTCGTTGGAGAAAGGAACATGCCACATTAGAAATGCACAAAAAGATGTATGAAACATTTACTTGGATTTTATTCACAATCACATCTCTGAAAAAACAATTTACTTTCAATATAATCCATTTTCTTCATTTTAAAAAAAACTTATTTTGGGATGAGAACAAATGTGTTTTTTTCTGAAAGGAAAATTCTTACTTAAAGCAATAAGCATGAGAAAATATGAGTTTGAAATAGACCATGTATTATTTTATAAGCATGAGAAAATATGAGTTTGAAATAGAAAAATAATACATGGTCTAACACGTTTTTCATCATTTAGGGAAATTATCCTTATTAAAGATACCACTTAACTGCTTAAAGTATTTACTTAAAGTTAGGTGTGTGCTTAAGTGCTGTCCTAATTTGGTTCTAGTAGCTCTTTATTTTATTTAGGCCTGTGCCCTTGTAAGACTTACACACACACTTAACTTGCAGTATCATTGGCTTCCAAGTTAAACACATTTAAACCTGTGCAGGATTAGGGCATTTTTCATTTGATGTTTAGTAGCAGAATACAAAAAACAGCAACAAAAACTCTTGGTTAAAAAGTAGGTGAATGTTTTTTTTTCAAGTTTGTTAGTTTTTGTCCCTCAACTCCAAATTGAAATATTATCTTTACTCAGACCCTTTTTGTGTGTATGTGAACTATCTGCAACACCTAGCATGTTAGGTATTTTTATTGACTTTTTAAAATGTAACTTTGTTTTTAACAATTTTTCACCCTTCTGATTAGCTGAGAAATCTAAAAAAACAGAAGAGGAACAAAGGCATGTGTCCTGTAAGGTCTAAGTTCCTTAGTTCAGCAAAACACTTAAGCATGTGTTTAAATCCTGACAATATCAATGGGACTGAAGCACCTAATGTAAAGTTAAGCAGATGGTTAAGAACTTTACCCTAATCAGGGCTAAGCCCAGACCTCATATATAAAGTCAAAGTATGTGGTGCTTGGGAGAGCTAGAATCATCCTCCTTCCCAAGTTTCAGGGCACAAGTAGTCACTTTGCAGCCCCTCAAGGCTTGCAGAATACCAGTCACTGTGTTCTCCAACCATGGGGTAATTTGGCCAATGAATTTGTGTCATTAGGGTTCTGCTGAGCACATTGCTGGCTCTCCCTGCCCCATTGCTTATGTCTCAATCCACACTGCAGTATGTTGGCATGATCAGAGCTGCTATATAAAACTACTCTGCAGCAAGCAGGGGAAGCAAAAATTTCCAGGTGTAACTTCTCAGCACCGAGGAACTCCCACAGATCCACCGCTTAGATGTCTTGTTTAGGATTTGGCCATAAATGAGGGTAGAAAATCTGAATTTGTAAATGGAAATCCAGTCTGACCTTGCTGATTTGCATTTTTGAGTCCTGAGGGATTAGCTCATAATAAGAGAGTTGTATTCTTACATCATGATGTACAATATGAAAGTAGAAAATGCACTGCCTACTGTTGTAGCAATAATCAAAGCTTCTTAATACATATGGAATAAAATGGCTACATATGTGTTTAAAAGAGGCTATTTCTAGTTTGTAAAGAATGTGTCCCTGCTGTGTAGATGGTGTACTCATGAGCAGTGGTCGATCCCTTCTACAGGCTCTTTCACACTCTAAATCAGTGTCTCTGCTCCATCCATGTAGTAAGTACTGCAATGGCAAGCCAATGGTGCTATTTTGCATGAAGCTGTGGGAACGTGGCCTTTATTCCTTCAGAAGAGCATCTTGTTCCATATCTTTGGTCTGGCAGCTAACTGAAATGTCATTTGATTCTCATTACATATATGATAAAATATACAATCTTACTTGTTGATCTGCTGTGCTGGGTATTTTCTCATATGGCTCCTTTTTCAACAGTGTATGCAAAGCATGGACCTAACTTTAAGCATGCGAATAGTCCCATTTAAGTTGGGACCGCTTACGTACTAGTGGCGTAGCCAGATAAGTACACGTGGGTGGTTCCTGACTTCAGGCAGGTGGGCAATGATGGGGGCCGGACATAAGCCACAGTAAAAGCTGGGTCACGAGAGCTATGAGTGGGCCTGGATGCAATGTGGATAAGCCATGGCCCCTCAAGCCCAGCTGTGGCTACGCCACCGTTATGTACTTAAAAGTAGGCACATGCTTGCAATAATCTCTACAAAGTTAAATAATGTCTGGTCTCTTGGAAATAGCAGAAAAGAATCACATAAGCCCTTTACAACAGAATAGCTAAAAAAGCAAAATGAAAGATGAACCATCAGAAAAACCGGGTTGCTTGGAAAAGAGTAATACTAATTTTCTTTACTACTTAAAGACAATCCACCATTTTGCAAAGACTGGCATTTTCTGATGTTAATCCAGATCCGGGCAAATTCTGTCAAAGACAATCTATTTAACAAACGATTTGTATTATCTTGGACAATATTGCTTCTAGTAATTTTTGCTTTCTAAATATCCAACCAACATGCCAGAATATAATGACTGAGCTTTCATCCTGGTTGAGGTAATGTGCTTCAAACAAATAAATATCCAAGGACAACCATCTTAGGTTTCATTAACTTTTTGTGTTTTATAGAACAACGAGCATACAGCTTGCCAGAACAATCGAGGGAAAAAAGGTACTAATACTTGCCATGGATAATTTCTGCAGTGTAATATGTATCTATCTACCATTATTTACATGTTAATGCTACTAGTTAAACTTTAATAGCACAGATCTTTGTGTAATGGTCATCATGACTCAAAAGTAAGAGACATGGTACAGGCAGTCCCCGGGTTACGTACAAGATAGGGACTGTAGGTTTGTTCTTAAGTTGAATCTGTATGTAAGTTGGAACTGGCATCCAGATTCAGCCGCTGAATCTGGACACCAGTTCTGACTTACATACAGATTCAACTTAAGAACCCCAGGCGTCCCCAAGTCAGCGGCTGCTGAAACTGATCAGCAGCTGATTCCAGGAAGCCTGGGGCAGAGTAACTCTGCCTCGGGCTTCCTGTAGTCAGCCACTGGTCAGTTTCAGCAGCGGCTAACTTGGGGACGCCTGGGGCAGAGCAGCTCGGGTGCTGCTTGGTTTGTCCAGTAGCGCGGGTGCTCCTCGGCGCTACTGGACCAACCCAGCAGCAC